ATTAGGCTCGGCCAAAAATAGCCCAATTTGAACCCGTATAAACGGGTTCAGGCTGTTTTACCTCCCTGAAGGAGACTCCGCCCTTCGGCGTAGCCTCCTTCGGGTTCCTCCCGCCCGAAAGCAGAGAGTTAAACCGAACCGTTCGCTCAGAATGTGAGTGACCGACTCCTTGCCTACTCCTGAGGCGCACTATTTATTAAGTATGGAATAGTTCATTATCATTATGGGTAAGATCCCATGACACTTAATAAAGAACAGATTGTGCGACTTACAAAATTTATTATGCAAAACGAAATTCAAAGAATTTAATTTAAAATTTCCAAGACAGATTGCTACTGTGCAGTTGTTTTTGTTTATCAAGGTCCCATAATGATTTCTGTTATTTTTATTAGTCTTCTGCCAGTGTGCTCCCCAGACTTTCATTAAAGAAAAAGTGAAAATGAATATCATGAATATAGGTTACAAGATTGTGTGACAAGTCCCTGTTATACTCAACTCTGTAGAAGTAGTGTACTGTTTCCAGCCTGAAAAGTTTGAAACCAGGATGGGTTACGGTCTGGGAGGATTTCAAGGGTGTCAAATCCTGAAATTGTTGATTATATTCATGACCTAATTTTGTCTGATCGACGAATCTTGGCCATATGAATTGCTGAGACACTCAATGTATGGGTTGGGTTTATAATTCATGAGCAGTTGGGTATGCAGAAGCTTTCAGCCAAGTGGCTGACAAAATGTTTGAATTTAGACCAGAAAAGATATCGAATGAACAACTCCAAGTTGATTTTTCAGCATCTTCTCTCACTTACTGATAATTTCTTAAAATACGCGTCACTGTTGATGAAATATTGTTACACTATTAAGACCTGATGACCAAACAACAACTCATACAATTAAAAATCTAAAATTCTTAGCCATGATTTTTCTTTTAAGGTAACTATTTTGATAACTGTCTATTTTCAGAATGGTTGGGAAATGAATTCAGAATACACTAACTTCTTGTTCCGATTAAATGAAACGTTAAAAAGATAAATGGTAAGGAAAACTACAGTACAGAATGTTGCATCTTTCTTCTTACAAGACAATTTACTTTTTACCAGGGCTGGCAAGACAACAGCATTTTGGGAGAATTTGTGGTTAAGCATTAACCTAAAAGCTCGAATTATGTTGTTGAATATCCTCGTTAGAACGAGAATTTTAAGCGGATGTCATGCATAACATCAAACTCGTTCGGAAATATCTAAATTATCAACTCTATTTAACCGATTTCTCAGATCAGCGGTTAAAAATGTCTTCGAGTAAATGAAGAGCGTGTTTTACGAGAATTATCTTTCTTCGAACCTCGTTGACTGGTGCTATATTATCACAAAATATGCAGCAAATAACAAAAAGTACATCATTTGAGGGCTTTCAACAACAGCAACTAGAATGAACATGTAGCATGAAGAGAAAATAATGACATAGTGAAGATGGTTGTATTCCACACTACTTCAAATAAAATGTTAGTAAGGAAAAAAATCTCAATACTAGAAAGAACTATAACAATTACTGAAAATGGAGAAAAATATTTCCCAGAAAATTTTTAAAAGGTTTTTATAAATTTCAAACAAGAATAGCCGTGACTGCTTAGTCAGTGAATGCCGAATATTTCCTTGTAAGGAAAAGGCTAATATTACCATTATCATTAGAGATGAGTAGAACATATACTTTTATCCTAGCACGAGGGCTAGAGAATGAAGAAAAGCGCAAATCGAGTAGCACTGACTGATCGGTCATGCCGAATGTTTCTATATAAAGAAACAATTAATATTACCATTACCATTCGTAGTGAGGTGAACTGATACTACACTTTGATACCAGCCCGATGGCCAAAAAATAAATAAAAGCTTAACTCAAGTGATACTGACTGCTCGCTCACTGAATACCGAATGATTTCTTATAAGAAAACTGCTTATATTACTATTATCATTAAAGGTTACGAGAACAGATGCTACACATTGACCAAGGCGCGATGCGCAGGGAGTGAAAAAAAATGCGTAACTCGAGAGTATTGACTGCAAGGTCAATAAATCGTGAATATTTCCTTATAAAGAAACGGCTAATTTAATATTATCTATTTCCTTACCATTACTATTTATAGATTATGATTACAATTACTATTTATAGACCACTCGTACTAATCAACAGATTTTCTTCCATCAATTCCCTGCTTCCAAACCTTAAAAGAACTCGAGAAGGAGGGGAACACTCGACTGTTTACGGCGTGATATCGGCATGGGACAGTATCTCAATGAACAAGCATAAGATTTTTTTGTTTGAATGGTTTAAAGAAACAATTGAGTAACGATGTCCAAAGTGTGCTGAGCTGCGGGGGTGAATACATGGAATATGTAAGTCTCGTGTTTCTAGGTAATTATCTTTATTGTCGGAGCGAGAACATTTCAGCATTTTTCATATACCATTTTAACAGATTAAGAGGTTTGAAAGAAACAGTATATATGTTATGTACAAACCATCCAGTGAGTAGGCTTAGCGTATATATGAACGTTGTGTGGGAAATTTTTATTAGGAAAGAACGCGCTTTACACTTAATTACAACAGATGACTACCTGAGCGTCAGAGATCATAGGTGAGAGGATAAAACAGAAGTAATGTTTATCTGAATTTCTGAAAATCTTAGGAAATCCATAGGAAATGAAACGAGAACAGTCTACCATTATGGGTGGAATTAAATATTTCGTTCAACATGCCCGGAAACAAAGAAAATAAATAGTAACAGGGTAGAGTAATTGACATTAAGTAATAGAAAACCTTTAATTAAAAGATAAGAAAAATTACATTAAATCAGATATAAGCAGAAAAGCTACCATAATGAAATGTTATAACGGATATTAAGCAATCATAAAATTCCTAGTAAAAATTAATTGACATTTCAAACCACTTTTGTTCTGAATTCCATCTGCTTTTCTCTTCTGGCATGCCGTCTAATATTTCTTCATTTGTTTAAACTTACTCTTCTTTCTTAAGTTTCGAAACCTATTCCATCTCCATTTACTCCTAACAAAGACCTAAACCATAAATATAATAAGAGTATATAGACTCTCCTATCACCCGGTTCATACTCCTTCTTCGTCTTTTGAACAGAAGTAGAGGTTTATCAATTATTTTCTGTTTATCGATTGTTTTCCGGTTCTTTCTCCTAAAGTCCTCTAATTTTCTTTCACTTGCGTCTTAGTGACATTATCACCTTGCTTGGGGTGAAATGATTAAATATCCTTCTTTAAAGAAGTTATTTCTAAAATCTAAGTTTTTAAATGTTTTTTTTACATATACTGGTTTATTGCCGTATTGTATCAATGCTGAAATATCAAATATGCTTCAACAAAGTCTAAGATCTGTTTGTTTTACTTTTATGATATGAGGACTTTTTTCGGAAAATCGTTACAGAATAAAAAGGCCTATCGTTACTTATACAAACCGCTACATTGATTTAGATTCTCATTAAGCACGACCCTTATTGCTGCTAAGACTAAACTAGGCTTATTACATGGTTAGAATTCTGGTATAAAGACAATTATGCTAATGTTAAACAAGTACAACGTTTTAAATATCTGGGAAGTGTTTTAACAGAAGACGGAAAGTACAACACTGAAATCTGATGGCTTGTTGGAATAACAAAAGGTTGTCTTCCAAAAGCTAAGCAAATTATTAAGAAACAGAAAAATTTCGTTAGAAACAAAGAAAAGAATACTGAATTGTTACGCAATATCAGTCCTATACGATAGTAAACGCTGGACATATATACTGACAGATGAAGAAGAGACTTGAAACAACAGAAATGTGGTTCTACAGAAAGATACCCAGAATACCATGGACCGAACATATGAGAAACGACGAAGTTTTAGAAAATCGTAAACAAAAAGGACATTTTACTTAATATCAGATAGAGACAGTTGAAGTTTTTAGCGTAAATAATGAGGAAAGAGGGCTCGGAAAATTTGATACTCAAAGTTGAGATTGAAGGCATGTGAAACAAAGTGAAACAATGTATGACGTACCTACCGTGCTTAAGTAAATGGATGGCAGTACAGGGTTTAGGAAAGATAACAGACAGAGAAATGTTTTTAAAAGTTACAAAAGACAGGAAACTGTGGAGAACTATGATCACTAACGTCCTTCGGGGACACGGCACATAGAAAATAAAGAAGGAAGCCTACTGTCTCTAATTAAGCATAATGAAGTGCTTGTTAGAGAGCAGATTGTTTTATAGTGAAAGAAAATATATATACGAACTAGTCATATTATTAATGTGGCTATGTTCCATATTGTTTTGCGAAGTAGACACAATTATAGATTTTATACTGCGGGCTAATGTTACTATAGTGGAAGAAATACTGACTGAGTACACTACTGAGTTTTACGTTGAGTTCTAAGTTGAGTAGACACAAATGTTTATGATGTAGATCATACAAACAGTTCATTTACGGGAAATCACTTCACACGAAATAAACTTTCTCTAAACTGCAAACTTTGCAAACTACGATTAACTTGTAGGCTTTTACAATGTTTACAATAGTAATCCTCCAGCCACTTGTACTGAGGGTATCAGCCTGCTTTTCGTTATCCTCATTCGCAGCAGCAGTTGACCCATGATATGTTATGAGTCAAATTTAAACTATTTCAATTTCATTTTTATGTAGTGGACTCTTTTGGTGACGTAGCAAAATGTTACAAATACATTAGATAGATAGATAGATAGATAGATAGATAGATAGATAGATAGATGCTCGAACATGATGTAAATTGGTACATTCCCGAACTGAATGGAGAGGGATGTATTTTTGAGATCATTGTGTCAATTGTTACATTGTTAGATCAGTCGTGAAGCGAACTAGCTAAAAGCCACAAGCAAATATATTTTTGCTAAACAAACACCCTGTATTTTACAGTTAGAAATATTTAGCTGTTGAACAGTGATACCTATTCACATGTTGGAAAGTTTACGAGCACATCAAGTTGAAACACCAGTTCCCGTACGATCACCGATGTTAAGCAACGTCGATCCTAGCCAGTACCTAGATGGGTGACCGTTTAGGAATACCAGGTTCTGTAAGCTTGAATGTGCGGGTGGTGTAATGTTCGAAATTGTTAATTGGAGAGCCGATTTCCAATCCCATTTAAGTGTTTTATATCCATTTACAAGTCCTTGGTATGACGATAAACTACATCCGGCAGCAAGGTCTCTGATCCAGAGAATTAAGGTTTTGAGAAGCGTAAAACCACCTCTTAATTGCTGTTGTTCCCAGGTTCTGTCTGGGGTGGTAGCACCTGTTAGGGTCCCAGCTATGAGCAAATAGTGAACCACTCCCAAGCAAAAAAGTATAAAAATATTTTTATAGTAAAAATACCAGCGATACATATTCATATAAAAAATTACTAACAATACATATTTAAAGTAAAATGACCAACAATAGATTTTTTAAACAAACTGACCAGCAATTTATTTTACTGCTGAATTAACAAAAGAAAAATGACCAACAATACATTTTATCTGTAGTTGAAGCCATGCAATTGCATTCAAAATATTTAGATTTCGGCATTAAATAACCCATAGAGGTGTTGATATGCCATTAAACAAAATCAACCAACAAACATATCCACTTACGCACAAATACCCCTAGGAAATGTATGACTTAACCTCTCTCCTTAGCTGTTGGTTAATTAGTTAGACTTTTAACACTAAAACCATTATTATCTAAAACATATGTATATATATATATATATATATTAAAGACATTTTTATGCTTAACATTCTTTTTATAGATACAAGTATTTAAGTAAATGCTCTGTTTATAATAAACAGTATTAAATAACATTTACCGGCCTGAATGTCCGAGAAATTTTCATAGAAAATATTCGTCCTTTTTTTCTATGAAAATTTCTCGGACATTCAGGCCGGTAAATGTTATTTAATACTATTTATTATAAACAGAGCATTTACTTAAATACTTGTATTTGGATGGTTATTTATTTTTGGCTGGGCCTACGGGCTCAGAGATACGCACATTAAAAAGGCCTTGTGCCACATTCGATCCCCGTGGTTGGATTGATAAATACCATCTTTAAAAAGATTACCCGCTCGGCCCGGTGTCATGGATCAAAGTGTAGTATCTGCGCTTTGTGAGCTGCCGGGTCGGGTGTCTGTCGAACTCTCTGCTTGCAGAGAGGAACCCGGACGAAGCTCCGCCGAAGGGTAGGGTTTCGTTGGGGGAGGTTGACGGAACTGGCCCGCCTCGGCGGGTTTGGATGGTTATTTATTTTTGGCTGGGCCTACCCACATTAAAAAGGCCTTGTGTCACATTCGATCTCCGTGGGTGGATTGATAAATACCCTCTATAAAAAGAATGTTAAGCATAAAAATGTCTTTAATAAATTGTCGGACTTTGTCCATTTCTTAATATATATATATATATATATATATATATATATATATATATATATATAAATTACGCACAAAATACTTAGATTTCTGCATTAAATTTCATATAGATGTTGATATGCTTCTAAAAAAAACAAAAAAAAACAAAAAAAAAATGATTTAGTGTAAGATTCAGAAGCAGCGTCATATATAACATCAAAAATCAAGTTCTAATAATATAGATATTACAGCCTCAAATCGAGACAACTTTAATATTATAGATGTTATAGCCTCAAATCGAGACAACTCTAATAATATAAATATTGCTCTAATACTATAAATCTTTATTACTTTGAGTTGAATAATTAAATCGTCTCGTGTTTATGACAATCCAGATTACAAAACTTGACTGTGTTTGTTTTTAGTTTCGGATTCCTGAGATATATATTTAAGGTACACATTATGTCACTGTAAATCTACGATTGACTATTAATTACTAATTACTAAATACTAATTCCTATTAATATCCGGGTAGACTAATTTTGGATTTCATACTGAAATAACCACTGCTCTAAATAGAGTGTACTAATATTTCATTAAGAAAGACATTTATATTTCTTAAGGTTTTAAACATTTATCGCAATACGTTTTTGTTTTTTTAGTTACAGTTAATTTCTGCTAACGATATACGTTTTTTTTTCCAATACGGAAAGTTGAAACTGTGTATAAGCTAATTTTAAAATGGCAAAAAGTTGAAAAAACTGTTAATGGTAAAGACGAGACAACAATGCAAATTAAATATTACTCATTTGGTAATTTTAAACTTCTGATTTTCTTCATAAAATCATTTGTATAGGTATTTACTAAATGCTTCAAGTCAATAACTATTTCAAAAAAATATTCGGGATATTATATGATAAAATCCCCCGGTTAGAGTTGCCTTGACAATTATGACAAAAATCAAAAGTTGAAAACTTATATAATAGGCTCTGCAATCAGTAATAATTATTTTTTTCATTTTACAATAGATTAAGCACTTCAGATTTAGAATATCAAAATGATTATTAAATTTTATAGGGGGATCCAGTTTGCTATATTAATTAATTATAAATTGATCCCTCGGAAGAAATGAGCACATCAGACGCTAATTCTTAAAATTTAAAAGAAAATTCTAAAATTCTAATTCATAATCTGGAATTAATTTGGTATATATTACGATTGATTAAATACTCCAGATTAGAAATTTCAATATATATATATATATATATATATATATATATATATATATTGATAATATTAGTGGTAAATATACACATACATATGCAAAATATATAAATATATATACATAGATGCATACACATACATATATATTTTTTGAATAAAAAATTCCAAGAGGATAGAATCCAGGTAGAATTCAATGTCCAGGACCTAAAGTCTGATGAATTGGATCGTATTTACGATTCAATGGAATAAATTATGACCATGGAATATTAGTGTTTAAGCCTTTTTTTATATATATATATATATATATATATATATATATATATATATATATATATATATATATATATATATATATATATCCCAATGAGAGAAAGAACAGATCAAGTAAAATTCCGCTGTTCGTAGTATTTAGTATTTACTTTTAAAAAAGAACTCAATACAAAGTAGAGCAAAATATTATTATTATTTTTATTATAAGAGATTAGAACAAAAAACGTTGAAATCGCTACGCAATAGCTTTCGTGTTTCAATGCTTTGATTGGTGCCTCTTTGGTAAATAACTGGTCCTTACTGGTTATTTACCATCAACTGAAGAGGTACAATATATATTTATATATATATATATATATATATATATATATATATATGTGTGTGTGTGTGCGTGTGTGTGTATATATATATATATATATATATATATATATATATATATATATATATATATATATATATATATATATATGTATGTATATGTATATGTATAAACTACTTTACATGACTATATTTTCTTTTGGCTTCGAAAGGGATCAATTTACAACGAATTCACATGGCAAATTGGATAAACCTATTACTTTTATAATATTTAATAAATAAAATAAAAATTTCTGTATTTGTTATCTGGAGTACTTAATCTATAGTAATATGAAAAAGAATTTTGAAAGAAAGGAGTATTTTATATTCACAATGTCTGTTGTTCAACTCGGCAAGCTTCGACGGAAAATATACTATTGTCTCAAACCATTAAATAAGTGTTAGACATTTACAAAGTTGTTAGCGAGAAGAAATTGATATTAAGAAGATTGTATGACACAACTTTTCAAAAACAGGGTGTGCCTATTTTGGAAAATCATGATTCGAAAATTTGATCTTTATCTTGACTCGAACACTGTTCGTTGGTAATTGAAAATACTTAATAATTTTAGCTGAAGAGAAGACGAAACATCTAAATATACTCGTAAATGTTATTTTTAGAGATTCTTAAATAACTGAAAATACATTCTTTGTTTAATATGACATTAATCGTCTTTTAACTGAATTTTTCTTGTAACCAAAGACGAAATATGCTAAGATTTTTTTTATTATTTTGCTCTACTCATTCCTTCTCTTCTTTGTTTTAGTTTTACTTTCTTCCCAAATCTTGGAATGTTGCTAACTATTTAGGGTAATTATGGAAAATAACTTGATTAATTATAATAGGCGCCTTGTTACGAATTAATTGTTTTCAATGACTAAGAGAGAAATAATTAAATTAAGCCAGACAGAACAAACAAATCCACCAAATTCCAGTTTTCTGAAGAAAAAAAACTAAATAAAAATAAAGATAAATAATTATTAAAAAGAAGTTTGAGAGACAAAGTGAAAATTGATTAAAGGAAATCTTAGTTCAAGTAATGCCATGAATTAAAGGGCATTTAGGAATAACTTTATTTGTATTGTCCTTGCCTCCACTTTGATTATGCCAGATGTAATTGTTCTCTTGATATATTTTCTTTCTTTTCTTTTCTTTTTTATTATCACTAGCATTGCAGACACTATGATAATATTATTAATAATAATAATAATAATAATGACTTTTCATTCATCCAATCTCTGTTTTAACCACGAGATATCTAGTGTGAACATATAAATGCATAAATTAATAAAATGCACAAAATGCTAAAGATATGAGAAGACTTCCAGTCATCAATGTCAAGTCAACATGAACTTGTAATAATAAAAATTGTACATACAACAATATCTTACACCCCATGAAGGGCTTTATCTATAAAAACTGAATATGGATTAAAAGGATGTTTTATTTTTATTTTTTTTTTTTTTTTACAAAAATATGCAGTGGAAAATAAAAATGTTATGATGCAATTTCTGACCTTAGGTTTCTGGATGGGATCCGGGGAGAAAGGTTATAGAACAGAAATCAAAATGTATTATTATTATTATTTATCATCATCATTATTCGATTTCTGCTATGGACACACTACCTACCAAGTCTGCGGAAAGACCTAAGGCAGGTCGTGGTGTGTTGTTATGGCCACATTTCATGTTATGTTTTTTTTTTTTTTTTTTTTTTTTTTTTCCGATGAAGTTGCTAGCGTTACATAGACAAAGTTCTCCTTAGACATTGTGTGCTGTACTTAAAAAAGACAATTTTCTGTATGTCTCTTAAGCTGGGGTTTCAGGGATTCTTTCAATGTGTTG